CTTCAGAAAAAAAATTTCATCATGCAAATTCTAAAAGCCAGCAGCCATCGAAGGGGAAGGAAAACCAACAAAATGCTCTGTCTGCTTGTCCTTGTGGACCAATTATTCTTCCAGTAGCTGCACCCCCATGTGCAATTTCTTGGTTGCAAGTACTGCCTGTCCGGAACATGGATTTTTGGTCTGAGAGCTGTTCAGTTTAAATTTTTTATTTTAGATAAGCTTGATAAAGCAGTGCCCATATTAGTGCTTATGTAGGTATGAAATTTGTCTGTAACTGTTAGTTAAAAGTCCTTTTCACTGGCTTAGTATGCCATGTGTTATTACACTGTGTATTATACTGATGTAGCTGGAGTGAAGCTTGGTTCTCAGACATTAAGATGACCCTTTTAACTTAGATTGTGCCAATATGTATTTTATAGTTTCAGGTGTTGGTGAATTTAGGAGTGACCAAACACAGCAAGGTGTAATTTTATTTGAGTTAAATCTTCCCATATTGCCTTGCATGAACATTTTTGTTTTAAAAATCTTCTGCATTTGGTTATTCTGTGGGAAAGCACAGTCAAATGTTTTAAAGAGGTATCAAAAATCATTTATTTTGGCTAACGGTACATTTCCAGGATCATCTCATCCAGGAGAGGTTTTAAGTGTGGTGCCTGTTCAGAGCCTGGACCCTCAGAGCACAGCGCAACCTCCATTGCCCAAGCCCATCATTCCTACCACACATGAATGAGCCATTAGCATGAGCAAAGCCCCTAAAATCAGCCAAATGAAGTAGTTGTACAGTGTTACTGGATTTCAAAATGTTGAATTTCCACATCTGTAACTTCTGATTCTGGTGCTGTGTCCTGTATGGTAGCAAAGAAGGTAACAAAACTAATTTTAAAATTCTGGAATGGGTTTTAAGACAATAGTAAGAATTGGGTAAGTGCCAAACTGGATTTTATACCACAACGCTTACTGAAAGTTAGTGGGTCTTGTGCTCTGCTTGCTAATGCTCTGGACTTAAGATTCAGGATTCTTGGTGCGTTTCTTAAAGGCCTGGCTCCTGACATCAAGGCACTTTCCTTGTTCTTCTACCTGTCCCCTCCCCCTCTTTTATTTCTGTTCCCTGTAAGAAAAGGTTGAAAACACAAAAGTGAGTAAACATGAAAGGCTCAGAAACTAAAGGCAAATATAAATAATTCTAAATAATTTTTTTCATGACTTAATGACAGTCTCATACTTTGTGCTTGGCCTGATGCATGTCTTTTTGAATGCTGGAAGCTGGTCGTGGTCAAAGTCCTATTGAAAATTACACCATGTGTTCTACTTCAATCAAAGAAGATGCAATTATGATGACTTTAAGAAAAGCACTCTTGTAATCCGTGGTTGTAGATGCTGTAGCACACAACTTGCTTTCTTTACATGAATATTTAAATTCATCTCTTACAGTCTCTAGTAACTTCACCCAGCTTTCTGCAGTTGCTAAGTGTTACTCAGACATGTCAGGGAAGCTTCTTCCAGTCCAGCCCCGATGTGATCTGCAGGTGCTGTGGAGCAAGGTCTGGAGCTCCCAGGCCAGCAGAAGCTGGAAGCCCCACAGGATGGCAGGGAGGTCTGCCGGCTCCTGGGAGGGAGCGCATCCTGAAGCGGTATGCAGCCCCTGTTCTGTCAGAAGAAATACCAGCCTGGCATGACGCTTCCCAGAATCGGGAATGTTAGAGGAACAAGCAATGGAGAGGTGGGGGTGTTGCAGCGCTGAAAGAGGGTGCAGGGCATCTCCTAACATTGCAATATATTTAGCTTATGGAAATGAATGCAGGAAAGGTAAATGGGAAGATGACTGAAAAGAAGGTTTTGTAATATTTATGGAACTTCCTTTGGAGTCTGCCGTATAAAGGGCAAGATGAAGACATTTTAGTAAAACTTGACACTGGAAAAGAGAGGATAAGGTGCTGAGAACATCCAGCAAGATCAAGAGGAATTTTCCTGAGAGGATAATGTCACAAGAACTGCCAACCTTGTCTAATTTTTAGAATGTTTTTTACAAAAAATATATAAATGTTGTACCTAACATCAAGAACAATTTATCACAATAGAAATAATTAAATCCTCAGCAAAATAAAGATGAATTTTGATGCGATTCCACAATTATTCTTGACAAACACTTTTAATTTGACCCAAACAATAGCAAGGAGGCTATCATAATATGCAATCTGAACCTGAATGATTTGTTTCAGTCATCACAGCGAGAGGACAATAAGAGGGAACATGACAAAAATATGGAGAACAATGAATAGGGCTGCACATAATTTTGGCTCTCACATTTTTATAATAAATTGCATGGTAGTTTGTGGTTTGCTTAAAGCTTCAGCTCCCAGATCTGTGTAGTAAATAAGAATCTAAGATTTCGTTACAGAAAAACAAGTTTCTAATTTTCATGAGTGCAAGAAGACTTTAATACAGAGCAAGAAAAGGAACTAAAATGTCTTTCAAAAGACAAGATTTTGCAAGTTTTAACTCAAAAATCTACCTTCTTACTATAAAAAAAAATCCGAAGGCATAAAGCTAGGACTTGATCCTGCTATTACAGCTCAGATCGGTATTTATAGTGCATTGGTTACTCAGACAGACACTACGAAGCCTTGTATCACGTCCTTTTCTCTTGGCAACGTTCTTTTAGAGCCTTGAAAACAACACGCCCCTGCCCTCTCTTTTACTGGCTTTTTCCTTCAGCAGATGTGGACGAGCCCAGTGTCTGACTCCAGTTCTGATCTGGAATAACTCCAGGGGCGTGCAAGAAGCCATCCCGCTTCTTCTCTTCCCCAGGGGTGGCGGGGAGGAGAGCCAGGGCCATTGTTCTCCCTCCCCAGCCCTCCCGCCGCAGCAGCCAGCATTGTTCCATTTTATTTACTTCCCCATCGCTGTAAACCAGCAGGGCTCGCAGCAGCGGGACGCAGCAACCCTTATTAGAATAACGAGGCTGATTTATGGGAGAGTGACAGGGCGAAGGCGAGCTCTCCTTCCGCAGCATCCACCGCTGGAGGCTGGGCGCCCACCCAGCCGCTGGCAGTGCGGTGCTGGGCCTCTGCGCTGGTGCACGCTCCCACCCCGGCTACCCAGGCAACTCTTCAACCTTTGCATCTCAGTGAAAATGTACGGACATATGCAATAAACACTTTTTTCCTTCACACGGTATCCTTCACAAGTTGTATGTTCCAAGGTAATGCTGAAAGTCTAATTAAAATAGTAAAGGAAAGGGAAAAATCCACTGCTGGACCCTTCCTTAGCACTAGCTAAGTGGAAATCTTGGCTTGTACAACACTCCTGGAGCAGGTTCGCTGTTGTCACTGGAATAGTGAGGGCTGGTGTGGCTTTGTTCCTCTCCTGCGCTGTGGAAGTTTTGCATTACTTTTCGGAAAGGCTTATGAATGAGGAGGTAGGAAATTTCCTTCTTGCAAGGAAAATGTTACGAGTATCCTTTGTTCATCACAATTCCTTGGTATCTTCATGGCAAAATACAGTGTGTACGTAGGGAGTTCTACTGTGCTCTGGAAGACACATTTAAAATGCACGTAGACGTATTTAAAAGCACATTTAAGCTTTTAAAAATGTGTTATACAAGCAACCAAAAAAAAGAAGATCACTGGCAATTCTGCCTGGTGTGTTTCTGCCAGGCACCAGAATCGAACACCAAATGTGCAAAAGTTGCCAGCTGCTTCCACTTCTCAGGGAGATGTTTGTGGTAACCTTTAATGAAAGAAGCCGTACCCATCGCTTGTCTTTGCTAACAGGATGGCATTTGTAGTGCTTGAAAGGCAATTAAACCATTTTGTAAATTGTCTCCCAAGTTTATATTTTTTGTTTGGCAGCGGATTGACGGTGCCAGAGTTTCAAGAGCAGTTACTTGTAGTCAATAAGCCCTCCACATTGCAAACTCCATGAAAAGCCTCAATGAACCCGAGTAGCTCACGATATAACCAAGCCAGAGAAGTGAAAGCAATAAAGGAATGAAGTATATATTACAAACCAACATGAAAAATCTTACTGCAGTTGTAATTGCCTGTAACAAAATGCCTCATACTGCCCGTAGGAAAAAGCAAATCAGCATCCAACATTTTCTGCCACCTTCACATTCACGTCCCAAATGCTCTCAACATCATGCTCCTGGCTGGAACATTTGCCTGTCTTTTGCATACACGGAAAAGCAGGGCAAGACCCAGTTTCACCCATCCCATTCCCTCACGCAAAGCCTCAGTGTATTTTTGGCTTAGCAGATTGGCAATTCTGACTGGCACAAAGTTGATCCATGTGGAAATCCACCCTCTTTTGACAAAGTTGCATTCCAGAAATTGAGCAAGAACCCTCCCCTTCATTTTGTAAGGCGGGAGAGAGGGAGGGAGGGTAACCCTGAGACCCAGCGGCTGCGCTTTGCAGCCAGAAGAAAAACTTTGGTGCTTATTGACACCTGATTACTCTGAGTTCACCAGGAAACAGAAAGCATCTAAAAGCCTATCCAAAACACAACTTTATTTTTCAGAAGTCAGTGTTTCGATACATAAATACACAACCTAATAATTTTTTTTCTGCCTCCAGACACAGTGATTTCACTGGTGGACATGGGGCATTCCCGTAGGAAGAGCTCAGTATTAGCGCTGCTGTGTGCAAGGCAATCCGTGGGGAAGAGGCACAGCTAGAAAATGGAGAAATGGTTAAAAGACTATGCAGTGTGCCTCTCTCCTAAACAATCATACTGGACTTGCTTTCCTTCTCTGTTCTCAAAATTGCTGCCTTGGGGAGGTAAAGGATTACCATTGCCATAAACCATAATCAAGATCAGATGTGCAAAGGGAAAGGCCTTGCTCAAATATCAAAGAGGTCTTAAACTGCCAAAACAAAGCAAGAGAGAGAAATCCTGAGGGAATCAGAGATGTAATTTATGACTGACCTTCATTTTAAGTGGGAAATGTGTGCTCTTAGATGGCAATGCTCCCGTGAATGCATGTTTTGCTTTGTTTCAGCTCATTGGGAATCCTTGCTGCAGCAGTGTTGATCTACGGTCCCGCACAATGAGCCCCGGATGAGGAATCACATGTGCATTCCAGAAACATTTTTCTGCGCTGAACTCGTCTGAGCAGTGACAGTGCCTGGCTTTGTTGTCCCCTCTGCCACGGCACTGCCTTCGGGGGCTCGCCTCTTCGTGTTTGCATCATCACTTGCCTAAATGACTCCACATTTTCTGCATTCTCATAACCCAGTTGTCTGGATTTGGGAGAAAAATGAGATAACAACTCTTCAAGGGGATTTTTGCTGCCACAGGAGGAGTTGATGCCTGGATGAGCTCAGTCATTCAAAGGCCAAGCATTACAAGAAAACACAGGCATATGAAATCTTTGCAGCCAAATATAAACCCACAGCATCACAGTGCCTCAGCCTCCCGTGTGCTGCCTCCTTTTACGTTTCACAGGGTAACATTAGACTGGGCACCCTCTATGCTTCAAAAAAGTTTAGATTAAAATCTAGTTCCAAACTTGTCTTTGCAATGGACACAAACTGCACACTGGGGAAAGTCAGATCCACATTTCCCTCTGCATTTCATGGCTCAATTCCAGCCGTAGTTTAAAACAAAGATGCTCAGCTGCTGTCAGCTGGGTTGCTGTGTTCCCCCATAGGATATGCTATGTTAAAGTGAATACTCATATTCATCATCTGAGAATTATGTTCTGAATTATTTTTAAATTCCAATTAAACACTTGGATGAAAAAGCTTATTTTCTAAATTCTACCTTACATTCAACATGAACTGCAAGGAACGGCAGCGCTTAGCAGGTACAATGAAAAGAACAGATTGTCAGGAAAGCCCACAGAGCCAGCCATTCTGAAGAAAGCTCTCACCGAGACAGTAGCTATTCATTAAATACACTTCTTGTCTGATAATCAGAAAAATATAATCTGCCATAGAAGTCACAGCTCCTTCACAGTTTCCCCTCCCAGCTTCCTCTGTGAACAGCTGTCAATGTGTGTATGACACAAACTTAAAAACAACCTAGAGAGGTTTGACGTCTGATGCAAAACAAACCCATCTTTTAAACGGAGCTTTTTCAGGTAGAAAACCCTTTGGAGTTAATTGGATGGGAGTATTCAGGTTATTTTTCATCACTGTAACATGTTGTTTTGCAGCACAAAATATGTCCATTTACAGTAAATACAGAGATGTTTGCAATAAATTAGCTTCAGAGTTTTGGAAACACAGATGGTATTTCTTGCACTTTCCCAAAGGGCTCCATTTGCTCTAGAGAAAAGAGAGATTTTAGCTATTCTGTTATTTTTAGAAGTTTGTTCATCTCCATCATTTCTACTTCACTAACAAGAGATGAAATCTGATTTACAGTTTATCTGCCATCAAGCAAGGAGATGAAACAATTTCTTTTGTCACTTGCAGTATGTTTCTGCTGCCTCCAGCATTTAGTTTTGAAAACAGTACATTTGTAACGGAAATCATTAAGATTACGGACTCCAAAAGGCAAATTTTAACATTCAATAAATTTTGGACAGGAAAAAATAGGCATCGGTGGTGTGACATAGTAACTAACATCATAACTACAGCTCGAAGCAGGGCCTGCATTCCTCCCGCCTATTACAGGCATCTTGGTGAGAGGGCTAACTTAGAAGCCAGCTTGTCTTTGCTTCCCTCTAGAGTCGATGGATAGATCTGGCATCTCCAGAGAGTGATCCAGCACACACACAGCCATCGGTAAAATCCACGCAGATAACCCCACAAACAGGAAAAAAAAAAAAATTCAGACTTTGGGGGCAATAAAATACAAAATATTTTTTGTATATCCATAGTTGTGATGCTTAACTCATTCAAACCGAACACTTTAAAGTAAAAATCACTACTCTCGCATTTATCACGTTAAAACACACACAAGGTTGCTTAAAGATGTAACTTGCCAGTGACCACCTGTTAAGAAGTGAGAGAAACATTTGTGTGGCAGAATTGTTATTGATTCACTGGCAAAACCTGCAAACGAACCCAGGGAGGAATTCAGAGGGCTCTCAAGCTACAAATTGTTGCTGAAAGTAGACCAAGTTCTGCTCTCCCGAATTACACATTTCATTAACAGCGTTTAGAATAAGCAAGTGGTGACTTTGAGGAAATGGGCGGGCAGAGGGGCAACCTGTGGAAGCAGCGCTTCCCTCTGCCGCCCTGCAGATTCCCTTGCTGTCTGGGATTCCGCTGACCTTTCTGATTTGATGCTTTCCTTGCTGCTTCTGGGATGAGCAAATACATTGTAAATGTTCATCTTCCACAACTCCGTTCCTGTAGTAGCGTCATATGCCTCTAGGATCACTCACAGCCGTAGTCCCAAAGGTGTTCAGCAGCTCAACAAAATTGGTCCCTATCTCATGGGAACTTTTAAAAGTCCAGATGGATGCCTATCTGCATGTGCAGGCACCTAAAATCCATTTACAACCTGGTCCTTGCTTTGGCCACTTGCTGCTTCATTCCTCCAGCTGACTGATGGCAGTGAAGAAGGAGGATTCAAATCAGGATTTAAATCTGCAGACAGCCTGACTGCAGTATCTTGTGTGTATTGCTCAAAGGACAGACTTTTCCACAGGTCCAGCATTTTTTTTGCATTTGAGATTTTTCTACCTGTTGTATTTTGCCTTTTCTTTTTCTGTCCATAGATAAACTTATTACTTCTCCCGCTGAACAAATAAAAAACCAACTTGGCTAACTTAGCGTCATCCTCAGTGACACATTCTCTGGCTTCCTCAAGGAGCTGTGTGGCATCTTCTCAAGTCCTTATTGACGTCAAGGCAGGGATGCAGTGCAGTAATCCGGGTGGATGGGAGAGAGAACAACCTGCCAGCAGAGCTGGTCCAGCAACCCCGCAGCATCTCCCACTTCCTCCCCTGATGGGGCAGCAGCTGTGAGAACAGCAGCAAGAACACAGCCTACAGCCTACAGCCAGCAAGAGCAGGGGCAGGTCACCAGGAGGTAAACACAATACTGATCAGGTTAAGAAATACTTTACTAATAGAGCCTGGATTGTGGGTTTGGCTACAGTCACCAGTGGGGGAGGAATGTGGCTACAATCACCAGAGGAGAGGAAATCATGGGCAAATGGCCACTGCAGAGACCCAGCCAGTCTGGACTCGCATGCAAGTCCAACGTGCCCAGAGTGGGTCAGACTCGCTGCCTCTGTCTGTCCTCTGCACAGCCTCCAGCTACTGGGCTGGTGAGTTCAGCCACTTCCCCGTGGCTGCTCACACGGCCTGCGGGGTCCTGCACACTGGCCTTCCTGCAGCTTTGGGCTTTCTTCCCACAGGCGCACAGCTCTAGGGGGAAGGGGGCTTCTGAGACATAGATTTTCTTCCCAAGGTAACTGGCAAGCAGTTCTATGTCCTCGTCCTGTTGTCACAGACCTGTCCCATGCACGTGAAACTGCCCCTTCACAGACTTCTGCAGCTGAGCCACAAACGTCCCCCACTGCTTTATCTGTCTTGTAAAACTGGATGTATCTTCTGAGGTGTTGATCAGCAACGCGTGGTGTATCGGGCCATGGAGCCAGCCGCTCAGCCGGAAGGGGCTGGGGTTCGCCCCGGGGGTTCTCATACCTCCCAGCTGTAGTGCCCAACCTCCACGGGACCAAACACATCCCATGTGGCAAGGCCTCATCTCTGTGCCCTGCCATTGAATAAAGCTGAAGCACTGTTGAACCTCGAGGTGGGCAGTTTCTTGTTCGATATTGACCTTCTGGTTTAGGTAAGCGGGTATGGCACCAGAGGCAGCCGTGAAAAAAGGAAAGCAGCACTTGGTCAAAATGGCAACAGGAATTGAGAGAGGAAGTGGTCAGCATTGGCTCATAACCATCGCAGAGTTGTTTTCTCTTTGTTCCCTAAGTCAGGAAGAACTATGACGGTAGGTAGGAAAGAGAAATATTTCTTTCTGTTTCTAAGCGTGTGAAGCAGGCTCCCCACTGGCAAAAGCTGCTAAGCACATTTTAGTCAGTGGTGTCTCAAGCCTGCAACTGTACATTGCACCGGGAGCAAAACGTGTTGCTGTAGAGGAACCTGCATAAGGGCCATGTGTTAGCAAAGTCCCATTTAGCTCCTGTTTTGTGTAAGCCTTTGTTTTCTTTACATGAAGGTAAATTCCACTGGTATTTCATTTCCTTTTTTACAAATGAGAAGTTCAGTGTTTTGAGGATGTGGCTGACTGATGGAGAATGTTTTGATGATGAGCGTGACCGTTACAGAAATGACAAAGGTGAATAGAAAGAGGGGGACGTGTCTTTTGACAGCAGGTATGGTGTCATGCCCTGCACCTCGCCAGGGAAGCAGGGCGGCAAGGGGCTGAACACTCACCAGAAACTGGCTTCAGTGAACTGCCAGGACTGCCTGTCCTCCCTGGCTGATTATGAAGGCTCCTGCAGCTCAGTGTGTAGCCATGCTGGAACAACTTTTTATGGAGCTCCAGCCTGCTCATGACAAATAAGGTCATGGCACATGTCAGCTCATGACAAGTACGAATCTTTAATTTACTTCTTAACTTTGAAGCTAGTGGAGAAGACCTTCAAGGGATATTGGCAGTTACCAAATTTCTGTTAAAAGAGTTTTACTTCTACAGCAGCATCTTTGAAGAAGCAACAACTGAAAGGAAGAGGGTTTTTTTCTCTTTTCATGGTCACTTCTGTGCAATGACAATGTTCTTTCCACTTGCACAGCTTCCACCTTAACTTTATTTTTTCTTTTCTGTTCTTGTGGGATGTATCAGGGACGGTCAGTATAGAACACACCTAGGGGTCCTGGGGACACAAGGAATGCCAAATCAATTTCGTATTTCACACCGAAGTCCTCCTTTAGCTCTTGCTTGCCAATGTTTTACAGCTATGAACCTGCCAGTCTGCACACTGTGATAATCTCATCATATACCCTTATGAATACTTTTGCCTACTCACCATGAGATAAAACCTTCTGTGCATGAAACTTGGTATACTTTGCCACAGATCTAGAAAGGACGAGAATCTTTACAAATTCTCATTTGAAAATTCCTTTTCCTGCTTGTCTGTAAAGATCAAGGACACAAAGGCATAAGAGCCCAACCTCCAGTATTCAGAGAACCCAGGGGAGCTTTTGATGCCAGGAATCCCACACAGAAGTGAAGCTACTACCTTCACAATTACTTTCTGTCCCCATAACGTACTTTCAGGTTTGTCCTTTCGGGGACAAAAAGCTTCTCTGGGTCCTGCTTTCTAGAGACTGTTCCAGGGGGAATGAATGTTTACCTCTGTTTTGGAGAAGTCTCTAAGCCTGGTGGTGGGAAATGTGGAAAGAGCTGCTACCTGCACCGCTACCATCAGGTGGTCACACCAGACCAGGCATCCAGCCTTGAGCTTTGGCACGTGGTAGAGGACAACAGAGGAAGGTTGCAGGGAAAGGCCTTGCTGCGGTTGAGGCCAGAACTACTCCAACAAGACTGCAATTAAGGGTGAAAAATCAAAATGGCTTGTTGTGGGGAAACTACTTAACAACCTCCCTCATGGATCACTGTTGCATGTCCAGAATTTGGATGGCGTATTTCTTGTAAAAAACATATTTACTTCCTCAGTGAGAAATTCTCTCCTAGCCTGTACCTTTGTGGCAGCAGCGTTCTTAAGCCGCTCCATTAGTTCTCAGTTGTGTGCTACTGATGAATACGGAAAAGAGACAAGGAGGGTACGACGGACTTTCATCTTTTTTCATAAAACTATGAGCCCTGTCAGACCTTATCCTTGCTGGGAGCCCTAGGGCACTTCTGAATATCTTTACAGTCCTGTCTTTGAACTTCTGCAATCATCTATGCTTTATTTTCTTTTAAAATGGCAAGTGGGAAATGAGTTGTCCTCCTTTCCTACCTTCCCGCTGTTTCTGAGGGAGGAGGGAGGGGCCCCTTTTCAGAGAGGTGCAGAGGGCTGGCTCCAAAATTCCCACTGCCTCTAATGGAGCAGAAGATCCAGACAACCCTTTGAAGATGCAGGATGGCCTCTGTGGGGCTGTGTAATACAACATTTGCTGCCGATGCTGCTCAGAACAGCAGGTCTGCTTTTCAAACTCAGGCTTCTGAAGCATGAGGTATACAGGTAACGTAGCAATAACACTGCCTGCCTGTTATTTGCTCTGAAATTCTCAATTGCAGTTAGCATGTGTCTTGAAAAATTCATTCCAGCCAAGGCTGGGGTGTCGGATAAGGGACGTGATGCTCTGGCACTGCAAGTCAGAGGCTCATTTATTCCTCCTCTGGAGTGGGAGCACAGACAGTGAAAGCCGTATCTGCGACCGCTGCCTCACTGAAATGCCAGGGTTCTTGTACTGCCTGTATAGTCATAGGAAAGAAACTCTCCAGGTTTCTTTTTCTTTTTTGGTTTTTTTTTTTTTTTTAAAGTACAGACATGTTTGAACGAAACCATTCCTGCTTTCCTGCTTCTCTTTGCTGCCAATTTCTGAGCACAAGATTCAATGTTTTTCTTGTACTTGGTATAAAATGGCTAATCAAAGCCTTCCCTGCTCTGTTATAGCTGTTTCATTATTTATTATGGTAAAAGTATGAATTACTGAACTTGAGCCTTGGCAGATAAGTGAAACAGGAATGAACTTTCAGCTCTGTGGTTTCAGAAGGTGAGTAAAGCTCTGGTGGAGTTTGCACACATGGTTGGAATAGTTCCCCTCGTTTACACTGGCACAGCTCCACCGACTGCCGCAGCAACTGCCCCGATTCACGCTTCCAGCAGCAGGCAGTTAGAAACGCAGGGGCCTGAGACAGCTGTACCTTTTTCACATTGCTCATCCGGTTTACCTTTTGAAACAGAAAATTTAAAATCATACATGAAGAAAAAAAGGATTTTTCTCCTCTGGGTTATTAAGGGGGACTTGACCAGAGAGAGGGAGGAAGGAGCTGTAAGTGATGCACTGGGGCTGACCCTGGGAGAAGGAGAAGTTAAATAACAGTATAAATATCTGTTGGCTCTTGAACAAAGACACACACAGCATTTCCCAAATTTAATTCTTTTACATAATGCCCTCACAGTAAAGAGCTCCTATTTAACCTGGTTTCCCTAGGAAATGCAGTGTGCACGTTCACGCCGTCTGCCCACCACATCTCCTCCCCAGCCTTCCTCCTGCCACCCACCATTTGTCCACTTACTGGCATGTGACAGAGCAAGTCCAAAAGTGAAACCTGGTGGCTGTACATGGGAGAGATGGATGTGGGCGTCCCCAGCAGGCAGAGCA